AAAGACAATAGTGTTCCATTCCTGATCCCAGAGTGACCGTTGTCTGCACCACTCAAGGCGATTACGTCGGTGTAAGGGTTAGAAGGCGACGTCGTGAAAGGAGGAATCCACAGTTTTTTGTTGAAAGACATGTTCATCACACTGTTGGAGTTATGGTTTGGGCTGCTATAGCTCATGGTACCAGGTCACCTTTAATCTTCATCAGAGGTAACATGAACGCGCAGCGTTATATCCACGAAGTTCTAGAACCCCATCTTTTACCCTATCTTGACACCCTGGCAGATCCAACTTTCCAACAAGATAATGCCCGACCACATGTTGCAAGAGTCACAATAGGCTTTTTTCAACATAATGATGTCACATTGTTACCATGGCCACCAAAATCTCCCGACTTATCCCCAATTGAGCACGTGTGGGATATGATGGGTAGGAGATTGCTCAATTTGCAACGTCCTCCTCAGACTCTAGAAGCACTTCGAGAGGAGTTGGTGGTTGCCTGGAATGAGATACCACAGGAGGACATTGACCACCTGATCAGAAGCATGCCTAGGCGCGTTGGAGAATGCGTAGCACATCAGGGTGCATCCACACATTATTAAAGGTCAAAGGGCTTTAAAGCAGTGCAATCATTTTGAAATTTTTATCATTTACTTATTATGCTTCATTAAGTACTTATACAAAATTTTATTAAAATAAAACCATTTAAACTGGGTGTTCGGATTTATATGTCACTTAGTATATTATACCTCAAATGAAAGCTTGTTAGATAGAAATATTATTTACATAATTAGCAGATTTCATTACTAGGAGATTTTTTACAGAAAATTGCATTTTTTATCGAATAAGTTAGTAAAGAAATAAGAAAATCATACATTTCAAAAGCGTAATTTTAAAACTTTTGTAAGTTTTCAACATTCTATTACTTATTATGAACTATTGGAATGTCCGCTATGCGACGATAACAAAAAACTCAAAATCAAACATGTAGTTTTTTTGTATTTCAAATTTAACCGTCTGAAATCGGAATAAAAAAATAAAATTCAAATAACTCAAAAACGGTTAACTTCTGGATATTACATTATAGGACAAAATCGGTTGCTTTTGACCTAGTCTATCACCCTTTAACAGGAATGCGTGACATTACAATTAATTTCATTTTACTTTCGTTGAACATATTTTCCTCTTCGAAGCTTATCCATTAGTGATCACTTATTTTTGGGGTATGCTTACCATTAACAATTAGTTTTTGTTGTATTCACTAGTTGTGAGCAAAACCTATTTCTGTTCCCAAAAAGTTCGTAATCCTTGTATAGTCATCTGCTTTCTGTCATAAGCCATGGACGTTCAATTGCTATGATCTGTCTCCTTAGTAGGCTTTGTTTTTGATTTTTTATATTCCATTTGTATTGTTCTACATATTTTGTTGAAAAGTGGGTGATTTGTGTATTATACCTCAGATCTGATTGCTTGTAGTTCAGGCAATTCACCTTATTTTTGGGTGTTTCACAGTTTTGACATTGATAGCCCCTCTCATCAAATTTTGTACAAACACTTTCCTTTGTACAGTTTTTAGGTACATGCTGGAATTCGTAGCAGTAAAAGCATGTCAGAAGATCAATATGCTTCGAGCACTGTACATACATCCATTGAAACAAACAGTAAACCTTCTGTCGTAATCCTTTTAAATATTTGTGCACCTAACTCCACTATTGCGTGATATCTGTATTTCATTTTTTCAAGTCTCTAATCAACTCTCCTTTTTCGAATTTTCCCATTGAAGCCTACTATTTTAATCCGTGGTAATTTCCTATTCCCAAAATTCACTTTATAACGGTGTTCTACATGTTTTTATACTTCTAATTTAAATTTTATGATGTCAACATTATTACAATCATTTTTAATCACTCCATCCTTTTGATCACTAATTTTCATCTGCATCTGCAAATTATTTAGTTTCATTTTTTCTACCTGTAATTTATCTAATTTCGCTTGCAGATATGTGTTCTTCTTTTGCAGCTCTTTTATCAACAAATATTGTATGTGAATTGTATAATCCTGCATTTTTATCACATCTCATACTTGAAATCCATTTTAGTATTCTTTTTCAGGATCCTTTGTGTTTTGGCTTTTTTCAGCATAGTTTTTTTAATGTAGAGAGCTCCTACGATATATATGCTGTACAAGAGTTACTTCAGATACCACAAAGTCTGAAGTGTGGACTTTCTGGACATGGATGTGATATTGTTTTATCTCGGTATTGCCATGCACCTATCAGTCATATTTCAAACATCTACGGTTTACGTCACTGCTATTAGATTATTTTCTTTGTGTGGCAAAGCAAGTTCCGTCTAACATCTTGGGGATTTTTGACTTAATCCGTCTTGAGTCACTAGCGCTCTTAACCGCATACTCTCCGATTTATTGATCTAGGGCGTAAATTTTGATTTTATTTCAGCTGAAAGACACAACCATTTACAGCATGATGACACAGTCTCTAATTTTGGAATTTCTCCATTATATGTATCGACGGCAATTTTGACTTGGGCCACCATATAGGGCTCCATTTCTATGAAAAATTACCAACTGTTATATAAATCATAAGGCTAAATTTTTATTTTGTAATTAATTTTTGGAATGCAAAGAAGAATATCCAAAGTTAATAAGTGAATTTATAAGATTCAAAATACCAAGAATAACTGAGTTTATTTCGGATAATTCTACATACATTTTGGAAAATACAAATGTGCAAGCTGAGGATTGAATCGTGATTTCGTTGCGCCTGTATCGATAAGATGCTTTAGAGGTGGACTTGAATTACAGTATAGGGTTATTCCGTTTTGTCATGTATCGTGTTTAAATCCATTATGCCTCCTCTAACATGGGCATTTCCACCTGAAAATTTTTATTCTTTCATCAGGCTTTTGTTCAATTTCAGAGACATAATTTTGTGTCTAATAGGTGTTATCGTAATATCGGTTAGAAGTGATTTTAACTGTAATGAAAATATTCCGACTAGTAATAGTTATCGTAATGGTTATTTCCAAAATTTTGATTATGAAGATCACTTTCAACATTTTGTAACCCTTGCGAAGAAAAGACCTAAACTTATTTTGAAAACTCTTATTTCCGATGATGCTACTAACATGACTATTAGGAGTAGGCATGTAGGAAAGTCTTTGATTAAGCAGATCACGCCCAGCATTTAAATTAGATCTATTTCCAAAAACTTGTGCCTTTGACGTAAATCTTTGTGGCGGAACATTTTTTTCTAGATAGTAACGGGGTAAGTATGACTATTATACAGTGCCCGTTCACTAGTTATAACAGCATCACCCATTTCATGACTATTTTTGTTATTATCTAAATGATTAAGCATGGTTACAACCCTAGTATATAATTGCAAAGAACCTTCGTTATAATGTTGTCTAAGGACAGTCGTATCTGAGATAAGACTACTCGCGTCTCTTTGATCGCCAAATTTTTAATGCTGTTCCATTACCTGTGGTGAAAGGTGAAAATGGATGCTCTGCAGCACCAATCAATTTCGAGAAGATGACATGCAATAATATTTTATCCTGGACACATCCTGTATCTGCTGTGCTCCAATAAGTGCATAATACATCTATGCTCGTTTGTAAATATCTATATAATATACAAGGATTCTTATCGAACTCTGGGATAATTTCGCGTAACTTTGTCGAACTGAGGAACACTATTTCCACTGGGGGTCTTCATTATGTTTTCTATAATTTGGCTTCCTTCTCTTATTTCTCTAGTTCCTAATTCTGCGCCTGTTAATGAATTAGCTAGTTGATCTGCACTGTCACCTTTGGAGGATGTACAGATCTGTACTTAATACTATTTTTGTCATATGCTCCTAAGGTGGCCGCCGACTTCAGCAGGGATAGTGTGCACCGAATTATTTGTAATTTCTTCACTCACACCGGCTCGTTACGGATGTTTGTGATTCCCAAACGAGTGTTTTATTACGTGCTGTGCCAAGGTAGTCGAAACTTCAAACTCCGTCTTTCAAAGCTTTATTTGTTTCCGATAACAATGTTCACGCACCTAACCGTTACTACAATGTGTAAAAAGGCAATCGTATATCTCGTGGTGGAGTCGGCCACCAACGACATTTTATACAGGGAATACTCGCGTAAAGTAAGGGATTCGTCTCTTATTAGGAGATACAGGGAACGCATAATCTGAATAACTGCGCTTCTAAATATAATAAAAATTACTATCATAATGCCAATCCTGATATTGTTTCTTGTTTGCGTCATAAAAGCAGTTTCTGGTATTTCAGAAACTTGCCGAACTTGAAGGTGCTATTAATAAAAAAAGGAAATTGCTAGCAAAATGTTAGTCCATTGTAAGAATGGCATTAACAAACTTTTCAAAGTATTTGGCAGTCATCTTTTGTAACTATAGGGTGTCAAAGCTGGACGTACAATTCGGTTTTTACTGAAATGTTGCATTGAAAACATTCTCATATGAATTGGGCTGCAACATAAAAAACACTGATTCCGATGCAACAATCGTAGATATTTTAAATCAGACTCGGTTCATAAAAATGATTTTGGAAGATATGGCCCTCATTTGTCTGGACGATTTCCGATTCTTTCCAAAGAAATAGATTTCTGTATATTTCAAAAACTGTGAGAATTTTGATTAAACAAAATTTTAACAAACAGTAAGTCATGAGGTGATCTTTTTCCAGATGCGAGATCATTTTTTTAGTTTCCAGGCTAGAAAAAGGGCAGAATCACGAACGGATTTTTCGGGTTCGCTGTATAAGGCGCAAATATCCAACTTCTCGGTCTTCTGGACCATTTGAATTGCTTTAATTAAGTTAGTGCAACAAACACGTTAGATCAGCATAACCCTAAAATTTGGAGCACATCTGCCGTATTCACTTATGCCATAAGAATGGTGTATGGTCGTTTCCAGTCCACTGCATATGCGGTGTTTCGTCCATGGCTTGGGTGAAAATGCTTGACTTACTCCTCATATCTTTCGGGTAAACCGCATGCTGCTCCATGTTTGGTATAGTAGCGACCTTCAATATCAATTTTTGTTTCTCCTACCAAATCATCACTGGTGACCTTATCATAATCATACAACGCAATTTTCAGGATATGGTCAAAAGGAAATGCAGCCATAAATTCAAAGCACCTACAAAACGTGTTCAGAATACTTGTTCAGTGTTAATACGAGTGTCATAACACTTGAAATACCTTATAATTATACAGACTGTTTGACAAGATAGAAATACTGAGATAAGAGTCACTGTAGTTATATAGTACTAATGATCTATTGCACTCAAAGGAATAACAACTAGAGACATTGAGCCTTATTTATGACACGTTTCGCTTGCACCAAGAAACGAATGGTACTATGAACCATTATAATGGATGAGACAAGAAATACTTAAAAATAGTCATAATATGAACAACTCGTGTTAGCTTTTAATAAATACCTGCCAAATACTGGATTCACTTGTCTCGGAACATAATGATCCTTGTCACTGATAACTTTATCATTCAGTGTCAGTACAAGATAGGGGTCTGACTTTCCCGTTATATCCTTAGCCCTCAGGCCTAGGGCACGGATACAGTACACCCTCAGGGTGTAGCCCATGGGTGTGTTGTCTGAGAATCGCTTGAAGTAGCCTTCGCTCAAGGAGTTGCCCTCAGGTGTCACATACTCTTCTTCATCGTCTGCCAAAGGCCATTGATATATTTTTATGCACCCTAAAAAAGAAAAGTCTTGTTCCTCACATTACATTACTTACATTACATTAAGCACGATTCCAATGATTTGGCAATCTGACAGCACCATTAGCAAGAAATAGAGACCTGCACCATCATTTTCACATCTTCGCAATATTATCCCTTGTTTACAGATTTAGCTGACAATCACATCTTGCGTAGCATAAACCTTTACCTGTAGGACTCAGGAGCGGAAGATGATAAAATATGGCTCATACTAACAATTTCAGAAGCCTTAAAAAAATCCCCTCAATCATTCCATCTCAAACTACATTATCAGGTTGTCTAAGATGTGCTATTAGTGCACAGTGGAGAAGTCATGTTGATGTCTCCCTGTCGTCTAACTTAAACTGCAAGAGCACCATGCCGGTACATTTAACACTTCCTTTGAAGGTAATTGGTTGACGACTCATTTAGTGATAAGTAAATGGGCATTTTTTGTATCTTAGTGCTGTGTTAATAATAACAATAATAATAAGAATGTAAATAATAATGATAATAATATTGATAATAATAAACTTTTTACCAATTACAATTTGCCGATAAGGCATATAAAGTTTTCAGTGCACAATCGTCGTTAAAGAAAACATAACACAGGACCTTCACATAAGCCATTTCATTTGCTTTAGATAACATGCTTTATAAGCCAATGAAGAGTTGTAAGCTGCCATGTAAATCATGTTGAAACCAAAATAGTTGGCTATGCCTGGGCAGATATATTTTATAATATTAATATTATGTTTTGCCTAGAGTAAGATGTCAAGATGTTAGCACATATCAGCTTAGCTCAAAAGTGTGTCTAGCACCCAAGAAGTAAAGCATATTTTTTAAATAAACTTTATCATAGACGATAAGTTTATGTTATCAATACACATATGGGACATGTATGGCAAACGATTATAAGCCTTACGTGATAGGTAGATGTGGCATGGTAAGCTACATTTCTTTGCAAAGGTTGTATTTTTAGAAGGATAAGTATCTTTTTTACAAATATTACTTTTAACATTATTTTGCAGTACATGCGGAGCCTGCAAATAATAATATGGGCACTCCTCCAACGCAAAGTAGCGTATCGTAAGCGTTATTCAGCTAGTGAATAATACATCGTTTTGGGATGCATGTACTCGACGGGACTTTTTAAGTACTTAAAGCGATATAAGAATTGTAAAGTATTTGTAACGTTAGTTAAAGTTACAGTTACGGTTATAAAGAATCTTCTCTCGTAGCTGACGGTTAATAGTTTTTGAGCAAGATAATCAAAAGGATTAAATGAAACTACTCTTCCACTTAAAGCAGATATTCGAGTAGTACCGTAACCCCATTTTACTGACTTGTACGGATTATATCTTGGGACCCGTTGTGTTTTGGGGCAGGTGCCCATTGAAGCATTTAATGCAGGATACCGAAACACAACATATGAAAAATGCAGCAAAATTAACCCAGACCCCTCTTCCACTCAAAGCAGATATCCGAGTATGACCAATACACTACACTTGGACTGCCTATATCTTGGAACCCGTTGGATTTTGGGGCATGTGCCCATTAAGATATATGTCTGTTCAGGATAACGAGACACATAACATATAAAAAAAATTAGGAAAATCAACCGAAACCCCTCGAAGCAGATATTCGATAGGGCTGATACCATATTATACTGACTTGGACGGCCTATATCTTAAAGCCTGTTGAATTTTGGGGCATATTACGATTGAGGCATTTTTCCAGGACTTCGAGACACATAACATATGAAAAATCCACTGAAATCACTTTTCCACCTAAAGCAAATATTCGAGAATAGCCAACAATACATTATACTGACTTGGACGGCCGATAACTTAAGACTCGCTGAGTCATTTAACACATAAATCTTCAGCGAAATTAACCGGAATCACTCTTCCACTTAAAGCAGATTATACTGACATGTACGGCCTATATCGCAGGGCCCATTGAGTTTTAGAGCCTATGCCCATTACGACGTTTATTCAGAACGACAAGGTACATAACAGATGGAAAATTCAGTGAGATTGACCGAAACCACTCCTCCACTTAAAGCAGATGTTTGACTAGAACCGTAACCGCATTATACGGCATTTTTTGTATCTTAGTGCTGTGTTAATAATAACAATAATAATAAGAATGTAAATAATAATGATAATAATATTGATAATAATAAACTTTTTACCAATTACAATTTGCCGATAAGGCATATAAAGTTTTCAGTGCACAATCGTCGTTAAAGAAAACATAACACAGGACCTTCACATAAGCCATTTCATTTGCTTTAGATAACATGCTTTATAAGCCAATGAAGAGTTGTAAGCTGCCATGTAAATCATGTTGAAACCAAAATAGTTGGCTATGCCTGGGCAGATATATTTTATAATATTAATATTATGTTTTGTCTAGAGTAAGATGTCTTGGGACCCGTTGAGGTTGGGAGCCTGTGCCCATTGAAACATTAGTTTGGGTTAACAAGACGCATTACATACAAAAAATTCAGTGAAATTAACCGAAACCACTTTTCCCATAGGCGTGTTGCCGGGTTATTTGTTTATAGACAAAAAAAAAACGTAACCGTTTGTTTTTCGCATAAAAGTATCATTTATATTTCGAATTGGCTTATGATTCACATCGGCGAGGTAGATTTATATATTTTGCTATAAAATGCCCTTAGAACGAGCCTTTATATTGCAAAAACCTAGTAGTGAAGGCCGAAAAACACGTGTTTTTTTGATAAACAATTAGAAATTCTCAAAAACTCCTAGACCAATCGATTACAATTTTGTTGTGTTTATCAAGAAGTGAATCCTACGATGTGACGAATTTAAAGTATCTACATGAACACTATCGTCGCATTGCCAACAAGTGCCGAATTTTATATTCTGACTGTATTTGAGGCCATAGCTTTTTTGCTATTAGTCGGACCTTTTTTAGTCTGAACTCCTTTTGTGATCTCGTAAATACCTAGAATTCTTGTTCAAAGAGTTTTTTGTTCCTACACTTTTAGTTGAAACCCAAAAAGAACATTTTCTCATACTTTGTTGTCGAATAAAGAGTTTTCCCACAAAAATTGGCATACACATTTTATGCGTACATGTCTTAAATACTTCCTTGAACAGGTTGCAGCAATAAAACCAAAATTCAAAATTATTTTGCGACCCAGGCGAATTTTCGTCTCAGACATACTATACGTTCTTTAGTTTCGTCTCACCGCTTCAAAAATTTCTCGACAGCATATGCGTATTCCTAATCTATAATAACTTGTCTCTGTCAGTTTAGTAACCCACTTGACATGGGCGTATCAATTTGAGTTTACCGTTTATTCATCTTCATAATAGAAAAGATATGATCTCCGCACACGCATCGTAAGCGTAGTCGTTTCGTAAGCATATCGTTACGACGGCGACGCACCGCTTACGAGACCTGCCGTGTTCCACACACGCATCGTACACGTATCGTTTGATTATGCTAGAAATAGAAAGCGACGTGCTCATTGGATCCATCCATACATCGTAAATAATAAGAAAAGATTGTTTGTTGCTGCACTTTACCTTTGAGAAGATGATAATAAATTCCGAAGTTTTATCGAATGAGGAAGAAGACATTTATAATTCTTCTAAACATTTTAGGACCACACCTGTTGAAAAAAGATACAAAAATGCGAGAGGCTGTACCTACAGTTGACTAATTCATAACTTTTTCAGTAATATCGAGGGCAATTAAACAAACCTTTTGAATTTACGCTTGCCTTACGCCAGACCGCTACGACTATCGTAATGATAATGAACATCTCATACGCTTCGTTGCAACACCGCTTCGTGTGCAGACTTGTCAGCACACATACGTGCTCGTTTTGCTCTCGTCATACGCGCGTATTACGATACGCTTACGATACGACCTAGGGTCTGATTCCAAATGAGTTTCGACCGTTGAAATGGATTTCGATGGCGCCTCGGGACGATATACTTGATTCGCTATGATAATTTTGACACTGCCACGATAATTTGAATATAGAAGATAGATATAATCAGATGTCAAAATTGTCATAGCGAATAAAATATATCGTCACAAGTCGCCGTGGAAATTAATTTCAACGGTTGAAACTCATTTAGAATCAAGCCTATGGTGTGCGAAGACTCATAGCGGTACGTGAAAACACAACTAAGGGCCTTCGCACACGCATCGTAAGCGTAGTGGCTTCGTAAGCTTACGAGACCTGCAGCCTTCCACACACGTATCGTCACGTACTCGTATCGTTTCGTAAGATCTCAGTTAAAATCCTGGCGTCAACAGTACCAGATGTGTCTATTGATGATCTTACATTTTCTTCAGACGGAGAGGATTTTTTATTGTTTGATTATGTTAGAAGTAGAAAGCGATGTGCTCACTGGATATATACATACATCGCAAGTAATAAGAAGAACATATTGTTTGTTGCTGCATGTGGACTCTCAGAAGATGATAATAAATTCCGAAGTTTTATCGAATGAGGAAGAAGACATTTATAATTCTTCTAAAGATTTTAGGACCACACCTGTTGAAAAAAGATACAAAAATGCGAGAGGCTGTACCTACAGTTGACTAATTCATAACTTTTTCAGTAATATCGAGGGCAATTAAACAAACCTTTTGAATTTACGCTTGCCTTACGCCAGACCGCTACGACTATCGTAATGATAATGAACATCTCATACGCTTCGTTGCAACACCGCTTCGTGTGCAGACTTGTCAGCACACATACGTGCTCGTTTTGCTCTCGTCATACGCGCGTATTACGATACGCTTACGATACGACCTAGGGTCTGATTCCAAATGAGTTTCGACCGTTGAAATTGATTTCGATGGCGCCTCGGGACGATATACTTGATT